GCAAAGACTACCTCTGGCGCGCAGAGAGTAATAAGATCATATAACTGCTTGCTGAGTGCTTTGATCGTTGCAATGGTGTGGGCCGCAACCACGGCGGCTCAAGTCTCCCTCCCTCCCCCCTGTTTCGCCTTTTTATTAATCTCATCTGATGTTGGCTGCTGCTCTGTCTGTCTCGAGGCTCCTGCTCTGTCGGCGAGACAGTCGCCCTCGCCCCCAGGCAGCAAAGACGGTCTCTGGCGCACAGAGATTAATAATATCATCATCGCCACCACCACCAGCATCACCACGGCCTTCCCATCCCCTCTCGCGCACACGCACTCTTCGGCACTGTCGCGGCCTCGCAGGGAGTTCCACCGAAGGCCCCAGCGAATTGCGCACAACCCTCACGCGGTTCGTGGCCCCATCGAAAGCTCCACCGAATAATGCGGCATTTAGAACTGCTGCGCGGGACTTGCAGCTGCAGATGGTTGCTTGTCTCCAGTTTCCGTGGCCGTTCTGGCTGAATGTGTGGCGCAAGTTGTCAAATTCTTGGTTGCAATTTTTCAGATGAAGTTGCCAGCGCGCTGTTTCTCAGATTATGTGAAAACTTCGTCGCGTTCGCCTAGCACGCTGCGGAGCTTGCAGCGGACCAGCCGCAACCACCTAACCAGCTACCAGGCTGGAGTCAAGAAGGCCCTCGGCGAGCCCCGCGCTCGCCTCCAGAAGCCTGACGGGTGGATCCCTCATCAAGTGCCGTTTGGGCGCCAGCAGACGAAGTGGCTGCGCGGTCGCGGCTTCGATTGGCAGCCAGCCGAGATCGACGTTAGCGCCATGAGGTTCAGGATGATACTCCAGTCGCTGCTAGATCGCAAACGGCGCGAACAAGGCGCCACATGAAACTACTAAGAGTTGTCCGTGCTCGTGGGCATGTTGCACCCCGCTGCAAAGCTCAATATGTCGGAGGGTGAAGCTGGGCAACCACCTGGTGATGATCGGCCTTCCGCTGCCCGGCTACGCTTCAAATGAGATGTCGTTGCGGCGGTGCCGATTGTGGAGAAGCCCGTGAATGTCGCGCAGATTCCTGGTTTGAGCTCGAGGCGACCATATTCGAGACGAAGGGTTCAACTTCGACCACCGCGCCTCCTAGTGCCGCGCAGTTGGCAGACCTAGCTCAGGGCGCAGCTGCTGGCCCATCGCCAGGAGACTACGTTGCAACCGCTTGCTCAGGCTGACAAAATACATAACCACCACGGCCGGCGCGAACGTAGTGGCCCCCCTGCCGGCCCCCCCAGACGGACGACCCACCGAAGAAGAAAAAGGCGAAGACGGCCGCCGTGACCTGCGGCGCCGTGGGCCGCATAGAGTCATGGATCGAAATAGAGGGGACAAGGTCTGTCATTCGCAGCCGGGCCCGCATCCGTGATTACCATAGGGAAGTTATACCATCTCGCACAGTGTGCGTCTAAGGAGGAGGTCTGCAGCAGTGCGCAGACATACGCCGCTGCTCAGGCCGATCGTTGGAGCGAGCTTTGGTCATGGATCGATGTCCAGCTCATCGCTGCGTTCGGCCACAGTGCCAGCCCACGCAGCGAGGGGGGCGCTCGGGTGCCACAGTGCACAATGAAGAGCACAATCAGCCGCCTTGGCCGTGCTCCTCCTCCGAATGTAAAACCACGCAAACGCGTTTTCCCTGGCAGCCCTGCTCCTCCTCCTCCTCCTCCTCCTCCTCCTCCTCCTCCTCCTCCTCCTCCTCCTCCCCCTCCACCTCCTCATCCTCCCCTCCCCTCCCCCCATCCGATCTTGTCTGATTGTTGATTGTTTTGGGGGGGTGGCATCTGGGCGTCGTCCCCATTTTCATATTTTCTGATTGTATGTCTAGATTGGTTGGCGGATCTACATGAGCATGCGGTCTTGGGCAGCTGGCCCCGCAGGGCCTCATCGGAATGGACACCCTCGCCCAGTGCCTCCACCAGAGTGGCCACCATCATCGCCACCACCATCAGCATCAGCATCACTGCCATCAGCGTCAACATCATCGTCACCCTCATTCTCCTTCTCGTCCTCACCACCATCATCGCCATCGTTGTCATCATCATCCTCGTCATCAGCAGCAGCGTCATCATCATCATGGACCGTCGGCTCGGGCCCATCGGCGTTCCTTGCAGGGGTCTTCCGTCCCGGGGCCCACCCCTCCGCCCGCGGGCCGTCGCCCCGCCGGACGCGCTTCTCTATGGCGGCGCGGGCCTGGGCCCATCAGGGGGCCCTGGCGCGTCGCTTGGACTTGAGGCCTTCTGGGGCCCCCCCCCCGCCGCCCCCGGGGGGGCCCCCCCCCTCGCCCCTCGCAATGGGCACGGCTTAAACAAAAATTGCCTCTGGGGCCGCGCGAGCCCCGCGCCGTTGGGGCGCGGGGCCCGCCGCCCATGTCCGACCCGACCCCGCCCCTCCATCGCGGCGCAGACAATTGCTTCCGTTGCCTTCGTGGGCAAATATCCGAGCGCCCGCGCGCGATGACGCATTGCGAGTGCGATCTCTTCAGTGAAGCAGGCCGCCGTTCAGGCGCGTCGGGAGAGATCGCCCCGCGTGCGCCTGCAGAGCCACCCCCTGCTGCGATAGCAGAGGAGCCCGATGGTGGCGCGTCGACCTTGACGCTAGTCTCCAGGCGCGGCGTCGCCGCTCGGACGAGGTCGCGGCGGCGTGACTCGAGATGATCGGGGCGGCAAGTGGCGCGGCAATATTAGGGGCGCCTGCGCCGATCTCGCCGCGGAGCTCGGGGCGTTCGCGGGCGCGACGAACGCCGGCGAAGCCGACCCTGGCAACGTCGACCGCACTTTAGTGGCGACCTCCCACGCCAGCGAGATGTTCGCGCAGGAGTTCGCGACCTTCGAGGCGCGCGTAGCCAATGCCATCGGCGAGTTGACCGCTGGCAGCGGCGCCAGGGAGGAGACCGCCGTCGTCGACGACGTCGACGTCGAGGCCCTCTTCGCCACGCGCGGCCAGACGAGTAGGCGCTCCTCGAGTAGGAAATTGCGAAGGCAAAGGACATCGCGAAGTGGGAGACAGTGACGTCGAGAGCAACCGATGAGTCTGCAGCCATCGAAGAGCATTTGAAGAGCGAAGAGCTGTCGAAGAGAAACAGATGGTCAATCGAGGAGCAATCGGATATCGAAGAGTGATCGAAGAGCAATCGAGTAATAGTTATGTTCGACCGTGGTACAACACGCATCACACATGCAGTTGTTACATATATATATATACACATATACACATGTGATAATAAAAAGTACCAGTAGAGCGAAGAATATCAATCCTTCGGCTCAGTATTCGACTGCTCTTCGATTGTCGATGGGCCACTGGATGTCCCCATGGCCACTCGGGGCGGTCGCCCCGCAGATGGCGCCGCGCCAGCGACGTGGGTGGGTGGGGGGGCGCGCGGCTTGAGCATTTGCTGCGACTTCGGCAATCGGCCTGTGACTGTCCGAAGACCATCATTATTCCCTTTACTTCGGTCGGCCGAACCACTCCACTGCTCTGGCGATCCATTTCTCCACGGGAAATCCCAGGCTCAGTCCAGACCCGAAGGTTGCTTTGCAGCCTCCACGCCAGCGCCTGGGTCGGGGCCCGAGCGCGCCCCCGCCGCGATTTTGGAGATCACCCTCGCGAGCGAAAAGACTGAGGCAGGTCGCAAGGTCTTGCCGAAGTTTCCGAGACCGCGGGCCGAGACGCGGCCGCCATTGAGGACGAGCGGTTCAACGACAATGGCCGGCCGGCCCGCTGCGCTGGGGCCGCCGGGGAGATCTTTGCGAACGCTGGAGAGGCGGGATGCGAAGCCCGCCGGCGCGACCTGCATGGGCGCGGAAAGAAAGGCAAAGACTCGAACCTGCGAAAGCGGCGCGGCGGAGAACAGTGCTCACGGCGATGCCCAGCTTCTTGACGGACTGGGCGGGCGCGGCCTTCCTCGAGCGCGCGGCGCCCGTCCATTGACAGAGGGCTTTAGAGGAGGAGCCGAGGCAGTTCGCGCTGGGGGCGCGCGGCGGCGCCCCCTGGGAAGACGTCGAAGCCGCCGCTGCCCGGCAAGGTCAGAACATGGATTTGCTCGCGGCTACCAGCGGCAGCAGCGGCGCCGCGCCGGCGAACGCGAGGGTCGAGCCAGCCGGCGCCCAGGAGCAGGAGGAGGCTGCGCTGGCGAAGATGGCGGCTGAGCTACAGGGCCCCCCCCGAACCTGCGCCGCGAGTTCCAAGACGAGCTGCCCGACGCCGAGCCCATCTTGACACGGCCGAAGTCCCGAGCAGATCAGCAGTGTCGATTTCCGCCGGCACATGGACAACGTCGCCAAGAAGCTGACTGCAACGAAGAATACCCTCGCGAGGATGCGCAGCAAGGAGACCAAGGCGAGAGATATTCCGAAGTTGCTGACCCAGATGGAGAACACGAGGAGCAAGTTCGCGCAGGTCGAGGAGTTCGCCATCGAGAGCGGCAACAAGGAGGAGGCGACGAAGGGCAAGCGCAAGAGGGGTGCTGCCGCAGTCTGAGAGGCAATGTGCACTACCAACGCGCCGTTCACATAGCCTCTCGCTCTTGCAGCGTGCTGGGTAAGATGCGAGCGTGCACTTCCGTCGGGTAAGTGATGAGCGTTGCTCGGCAGGGGGGCGCGTGCATTTTCTCGCTCACATTGCGGAGCAGACAAATACATATGCGAGCGGGACGAGCCTGCTCCAAGCTCCGGGACGTTGCCGCCATCGCCTTCGCCATCGGCATGCCCATCACTCTCGCCCGCCACAGTAATTCTCCTGGGGGCCAACATAATCGCATCGCGTCTTCCTTGCAACCCTCCTTGCTCCTCCTCGTCCTGGTCAGATTCCTCATCGCCGCATCAGCGTGCACATCCTCCTCGCGCCACCCGTGCCTCAATCCGCCTCATCCCTCCTCGACGCGTCGCGCGGTGCTGCGCCGCGAGTTGCCGTGAACCATCGTCTGCCACCATGGTTTGCGGCGCCGGCCCCCCCCCCCCCCCCCGCGCCAGGGCGCGATTGGATGGTGGGCTCGGCTGCCCGACCACTGGCTGGATCCCCCAGGATGGGGTCAGGGCTTGACCCTCTGGCAGTAGAACGACAAGGAGGAAAAGTCGGCTAGTGGGAGCAGCAATGACAACGTGGAAAACTAGGCAAGTCGCAATAACCATGAGGAGCGGCAGGCTTGTGGGGGGAGCAGCAACAAAGAGGAAGAGCACGCAAACATCAATAACCAGGAGGAAGAGTAGCCAAGAGGCAAAAACAATGCGGGACAACAGCGACGAGGAGCAACAGGAATAAGCATCAACAGGGCTAGTAGGCTAAGTATCACGATGGAGACGAATAGGAGGAGTAGGTGAATGGGCCGTGGACTTTCTCCTCCGCGCATCCCGGCAGTGAGTCTCAGCATTGCCGCTATCAGTGAGCCAACTCAGTGTTATAGGCGATATTGCGCGCGCTGCTGCTGCTGCTGCTGCCCCACCTTTTCAAGCTCCGTGAAAATTTTGGCTCAATCTAGTTGCGGCTCTCGCTTGACACGGTCGCCCCGCGCGGGCAAGCGCGATTCTAGGCGAGGGCTGGCCGAGGCTGCTGCGCCAGCCGACGTTGCCACTGGAGCTGGCCTCGCGGATGCGGAAGTGCCCCTCGAGAGAGGTGGGGCTCGCCAGCGCGCGGCCGCTGCTGCCGCTGTCATGCCTGGCCCCGGCACTTGTCCGCTGCGAAGGTCTTCGGGGCGCGATTGGGGCTCTGGCGCCTCGAGCTCGGAGCGGGCGCAGGAGAGCGCCCGTGGAGCCAAGTACTCGGGCCGCGTTCTGCGCGTGTCAGCCGACGTATCCAACGACCTCATGCTCATGCTCTTTTCCCGAGTGGGAAAAGGGCGCGTAAACGCGCGCCCCCTCTCCGCTCGCCCCAACGCGCGGGGGGGGCGCGCAGGGGGTCGTTTGGATGAGTCGCATTATCCTCGTCTCTGGAAGGACCAGTGGGCCGCTGGCTTGGGCCGCGCGGCCGGGACAGGTGCGCCCGGGCAGTGCGCCGGCAACATTTCCGGGGAGTTGAAGGCCATGTTTGGATGGCCTGCGCGTTGCGCTCCAATCGACTTGATCGCAATGCCGAAGAAGCGGCCTTCGGCGACCCTTTGCCCTGTGCTGCGGCCGCACAAGTTTTCCCCGTTTATGCGGGTAGAGAGGAAGAACCTCTTTGAAGAAAGGCTAGTTCAGCCAGCTGGCGCTCGCGATCATTCCTGGCGGAGCATCTCAGATTCAGAGTTCGCGGCCTCGCACCCGCGCCTGCCATTCGCGGCGCGGTCCCCCGCAGTGCCCGTTGCCTTTCCGCGCTGACGGTGGCGGCTTCAATCAGCATGATTTCCTTGTTCGGTTTATCGTGAAACCGCCTGGCTACACGCTCTGCAGCTTCCGTCCAGTGTAGGTTGTGGTTCGCAGGCACTTGTGAATCATATATGTTTGATGAAGGCATTTGTTTGGGACGTCAGCGCGATGTTGCCAGGTCAGACGCCCTTCGCCGACTGGCAGAATCGTCCGCTGGAAAGCGGGGGGCGCGAGTTCTGCAGTAGCTGGAGGGACCGCATTGCCCGCGTCAGGGGCGACTGGCCGTTTTTTGTTTTGTCGGGTGTTCTATTTCACCCAATGGAACACTGCCGATGCACTGCGCCCCTTCTTGCAGAGCGTCGAACGTCGTTGAAGCTCGCGCGCGGCATCGCGCTCGCCCCAGCTCTGGGTTGGACGGGCGCACTTTGGAGCCATGAGTGAATCATGCGTGGCGAACGTACGTTCCAACGAGCGTCCAGATCCGGTATGTTTCTTGGCTGGCTGTGGAATCATCGGACTCCGCCTACTGCGCGCGCTGAATCCCTGAGTGCGGGCGCAAGAGATCGGCAGCGTCATGTTCGTTTTTGCCTGCGCCAGAAAAAAACGTGCTGACCTTACATTTGAACAGGCTGCAGCGCGTGTCAGATCATATGTGCACATGATATAAGGGGCCCCACTGTGTATGCATTGCCACAGACACCCTTACGCTAGCAAGATTGAGGGGCAGCGAGGGTTGGGCCAAACAGCAAGCTCATGGTGCTGCCGCCAGGCATTTGATTTGATATGCGTTCGGTTTGAGTTCAAAGTTCGGGTACGAAAGGGGCCCCTTCTGGGGGGAGCACGACCGCCTTGCCACTGCCGCGTGCCAGCTATCAATTCGCTTCTATCTCACTATTTATTTTGAGAACTCAAAGTTAAAAGACGCGAGCGAAACTGAATTACGAGTGCTTCGCAACCAAGTGGCAATCAGTTACGTTGGCACGTTTCAGTCACGAGCACAATTACAAGTTTGGGAAAATTGCTCCAGAGCTACATTTGCTTGAACACATGATCCTGCAACCTTGCGACTTTGGCAAACCAGCTTTCTCGTGGATGTAGTTGGACGAGGACCCCGTCGGGCGATTGATTCGCATCGCCACATGGTCCGCACAACCACGATTGCAGTATCAATGGTGTGCACAGTGGCGCATTGCGTTTGCCCCGGAAATGTTTTTTGGTTTTAACAAAAACACGTATCACAATATCATGTCGCCACAGCGGCACCAACACACGAAAGGGGAACGATCCCGAGGGACGGAAGGGGAAGGCGCCACCCTTCCCCTCTCATCCTCGCCCCCCCCGTCCTCCTCCTCCTCCTCCTCCTCCTCCTCCTCCTCCTCCTCCAAATTTGGTCTCGGCACAATGGACTGGTAACGGAGCTGTGCCCGAAATTCGCAGCATCAGCCAGTGTTGCAACTACGACGGCACGCTGCGCGCTTCTCTTTCGTTTATTCTCACCTGTCTATGTGCCTCGATCCTTATGTGATCGCTACGGGCTACGGGTTTACCAATGTTTGTTTTCAGTACTGCCCACAAGTGTCCGACAAAAACACTTTATAACACGCGGCCCCCGTCAGATCTTGGTGTTGTTGATGTTTTGGGACAGGATCCTCCTGGAAGGTCCGGAGAGTCTGGAAGATCTGGCAAATCGAGGGCCAAATGGGGCGCTCGGAGAACCCATAAATTTCGGAAAATTTAGGAACGTCCGGAACTTGAACGTTCAGAATTTGAAAAGCCCCGAAAATATTGAACATCTAAAGCCAAGGGGCGTTCGGGCCGCACGGGAAATCGCGGCAATTCCGCATCATCGGGCAATTCTGGAAGGTCAGGATCGTCCGGAGCATCTGGGAAGCTCGGGAAGTCGGGGACCTCCTGAGCTACAGAAAATGATTTCTGCAGCGTGGCTATTACAATTGAATTTCTTGTGTGGTGAATTTACATTTGGAAAACCCTGGTATGAGGAGTTCACAAAACGATTCCGATTGTACTCTATTGCGGAGGCTACATTCGGATGCCTCTTGTAATGGATTTCCAATCAGGGCGCACGGGCCGCGCGGAAAATCGGAACATCCGCACATCCCAGAAATTCCGGACAAAAAAAACGTCCGGAAGGTCCGAAACGCCTGGAACGTCTGGATCGTCCGGCGCGTCCGGAACGTCCGGCACGCGTCCGGCACGTCCGGGCGCTCCGGAACGTCAGGAAGGCCCGGAAGGCACGAGGCCTTCTGAGCAGTCCCGCCGCCTTCTGAGAGTGCGTTCTCCCTCTCGCTTCCTCCCCTCGCTCGCCGCCGATCTTCGTCGTGAACCTCCCAGTCTTCTGCTTCTCCGTCCCAGGTCCCGTGCCCCCCACCCGGTCCTGCTGCGCCCCGGGCTCAGACCCCCGCAGGGGCACATGCGCGCGCCGAGCGTCCCTGCTTCGGAGCCCAGGGCAGGCCCTGCGCGAGCGGGGCGGGCTGCCTGGGACATGCGAGGGCAGCACAACCGGGGGGGGGAAACGAGAGGGGGCGGGCCTTGTCAGAAGGTTCGGAAGTCCCGTGGCCTCCTGAGCAGTTCTCTAATTAAGCCTTCTTCCAAGACGCGGAGAACTTCTCAGAAGGCCGGAGGGCTTCTGAGAAACCCCGCCGCCTTCTATTCTCATTTCCCCCCTCGTTTGCCGCCGACATGTGAGGACAGCACGACCCACCTTCACCCGCGGCTTGACCTCCACCCGAGCTGGTGATCCAGGGGGTCCTGGCTGGGGGTGGGGTTGGCTCAGGGCTTATTTTGATTTCTCCGATTCGATCCGCTTCGATTTCGATGGCTTCCGATTCGGATTCCGATTTGGGATCCGATTCTCAATGGAGGCCTACTAGCCTGCAGACTTCCGCCGACCCGACTTCTCCCGACTCGGTCGCGGCTGTCCGCCGACCCGACCCACGTCGATTCTGCAGATCCGACTTCTCGGCTCGATGCCGGGCTCTCCCGTGGCCTGTGCTCGGAGGTCCCCGGGGGGCAGAACCCGCACCCACGGCCCGGCCGGGACCCCCCCATGGACCACCCGGCCGGGAGCGCGGGGGGGGGTCCTGGCAGCGGGGGGGCGGGGCCGCCGCCCTCCGCATGCCCAGAGAGTGGGCCCTCAGCGGATTCGGGGGGCCCTCTGAGATTCATCGGCCCTGCGGGGGGCACGCTCTGGCATCTCTCTCTCTTTCTCTCTCTCTCTCTTTTTGTTTTCTCTCTTTTTTTTTGTTCTCTCTCTCTCTCTCTCTCTCTCTCTCTCTCGGCGAGCACACGAGCACCGATGTGTGGATCGCACGCGCTCGGCCAGTGCCGGCGTCGAGCGTCGAGACCGGCACGTGCGGGTGACCGCGAGCTTGTGTTAAGTCGGGCCTGTCCCTCGACAGGAGGAATATTCAAGAATATGTTTAAAATGATATGGGGACGATGTCTTGATGATTTTTGACTATGTTGGAGCATTCGTGTGGTATTTTAAATTTTTCGTCCAGAATCCGCCTGTAGGGGGACATGCCCGACCTAAAGCTTGGGGGGAGGTACCTCTCCGGGCACCCGAGAGCTCCCGAGAGCGCTCAGAAATCCGGGGTCTATACACGCGCGAAGGGTTACTTACAGCACTCAATCTTGAGAGATTGGAGGGGCCTGGAGACATCCCAGTCGGTGCGTTCGGCGCGGTGGCGGGGCAGAAGGCCACCTTTTTATGATGAGCGTATTGGCCAGTTGGGTGCGATCGCTGCTCAGCCCTGTTACGGTCAGGCACTTTGGCTGTAGCGTGTCGCGCCGCTGGTTTGGGCCCACCACGCTTCGGCGCGACACGCTATCTGCTCCCCGGTCCCCAGGAATCCCCGTCCCGAGCCTTTCCCACCATCCCGCCCCGCGGAGTGGAGCGACGCCATCCGATTGCAAGGCACAGCGTGCCGTTGGGGCCGCCGCCGCGACGCGCTAGGCAAGAGGTCCCGACCGAAACCCTTGCCTTTACCACTGCTGAGAGGCGTTTGACCCTGTGCTTCGTCTGCGCTCAGCGCGCCCGCCCGGCACGGAGCCATACCTCAGGCCTGCGTTGTGGACGACGAGCCATGGAGAAGAAGCATTTTGCCAAATACCTTCCAGCTGTCTACAACACGTTTAGCACATGCCTTAACCATACAAGGGACATGGCTTATTTTTTCTGGAAAGTCTTCAAACAGCTTACAAACACATTCTTAGTTTGATGGTCGGATTGCCAGGGGGTCCGTTGCCATGGCATCCGCAAGGCCTGCGCGCCTCACGTCGCACGTGGCAGATCGTTGCAGCGGCCAGGGTCTTAGCTGCCCCTTCACGCCCGTTTTGATACGCACAACACGTGCCGTGTTCAAAACCCTCCGTGTCAATACGCTGCGTGTTGCTCGACGTGTTGGCCCACGCTTTGGCGAACGCATCGCGTCAGACCCACGTGTTCAGTCTACGTGTCGAGCTCCGTTTCAATACGCTACATGTTGTCCGCCCCAAAAAACGGCTTCGGGGTGCGACAGGGAGAAGATAGTTGTAAGGAAAAGGAATGGAGGAGGAGGAGGAGGAGGAGGAGGGGGAGGAGGAGGGGGAGGAGGGGGAGGAGGAGGAGGAGGGGGAGGAGGAGGAGGAGGAGGAGGAGGGGGAGACAGGAGCAGGGTCGAGGAAGGCTTGGACGGGTTCTCTCGTTCCCCCCTTTGGGTGCTGCGTGTCGGGGCAGCTGAGGCCCGGGTGGCTCGCTCTCGCCCTCCGGCTCGGCATCGCCGCTCGGAGCAGCGGCGCTCGTGGGCACGGCTGCCCTGACTGTGCCGTCGGGACTCGGGCGCCTCGAGGCATCGGCGCGCCCTCGTCCTCAGCCGGGCCTGTCCCTCCACAGGGGGGGGATATTCGAAGGTAGTCAAAAAACAGCCTGGGGACGATGTTCTGACTATTTTTGAACATTTGGGGAGTATTCTTTGAGCATCTCTTGGTTTTCGCCCCAGAGCCCCCCGTAGGGGGACACGCCCGACTGAACAGTGCGCCTCTCTTTTCCTGCGTCCGCCGCTGCCTCGGCCTCGTGTCGTGTGCCTGTCTGCGCCTGCGCCCGTGCCGCTGCCGCTGCCCATGCTCGTGAGCGTGCTGGTGCCCTTTCCGAGTTCCGTTGGCTGTGACTGTGCTCGTGCATTTGCCATGTGCCGTTGCTGGCCTGCGTACTTACATGTGTACTTAGCATCGCTCGGATGTGTGCATTTTTTCTCGGCGAGAACCATCGAGGACCATCCTGGACCATCGAGCAAAAAAACACGCACGAAACCGACAAATGCACGGGAAATGGACGTCCGAGCGACGGCAAGTGTATCTCCCTTCGCGTTTCATGTAGGGGCCATTCCTTGACTTCATGTTCGCCCGCGTTGTACTATAGCTGCGCACGCACAGCACTGGCCGTAGATATTCCATCCAGCGTGTCTTGCACAGCTTTCTCGCGCCATGCTCTCTCTTATGCGTGCGTACCGCCACCTCTGCCGACCTACACAATGCAGCGGCGTGAAGGGCCACAGTGTTGCTCAACGTCTCGCCGCCAGCCCATCCAGCAGCCCGTGCCGCGCCCCATTATGATCTAGTCTGGTCTGCTCTGGCCTCGCTTGGTCGGGTCTGGTCCGCTCGGGTCCCGTGCGGCAGAGTCTGGCTGGCCGGCTCTCGTGCGTGGTTGGGCCTGGTGTGGCCACGCCGCCCCTTGCGTGGCATCTCGTCTGGCCCGCCCTTCCCGTGGACGTCCACACGTGCGCAGCGGACGCTCACGGCCCTCGCGGTCTGCACTCTGGGCCGCGCTCCGCGCGGCCCTGCGGTCGGTTCCGCGCGGGGCAGCCGCGAGGAAACGCCCCGCAGCCGTGGCGTCGCGGCCCAGGGCCCCGGCCGGCGAGGCCGCGGGCACGGGGAAGTTCCCCGCCCACGGCGGCGCGCGCATCCAGGGGCCTCGCCCCTGCCTGGGCCCCCCTCGGCGAGTCGAGACTCGGGCGATGCGAGCCGGTCCAGTCGAGACGCGGGCGAAGCGAGACTCGGGCGAATCACGTCTAGTACGCCGCGCGAGCCACGCGGCGTGCCGCGCTCCAGCCGCTGCGAGCGCCGCCCCGCGTCGAGCAGCAGCGGGGCGTGGGTTTTTTTTTGTTCTCGCCGCATGCGGCGCCGGGGGCCCGCTGCTCGTGGGCTCCTGGAGGGGGGTGATGACTTAAGATCGGCCACGCGCACAAGGGGGGAGGGGGGAGGTTCTGTTGCATCTTCGGGGGGCCTCGCCTGTCCCCAAAAATTGGTGCCTTTTTGGGGGGCCCGACGCCTGCTCTCGATGCGGACTCGACGCGGATTTGGCGTGGATTCGACGCGGATGCGACACGGATTCGACACGGATCCGACGCGTCCGACATGGATTCGACACGGATTCGACGCGGACAGAGCCGCGACGGGACGGACGAGGTCCCCCGAGGATGCAGCAGAAGGGAGGGGGGAGGGCTCCTTAGAAGCACCCCCTCCTTCTGAGGAGCCTTCCCCCCTCCCCCTACCCCCTTGCGCGCGCCGCCAAGTAGGGGGAGGGGGGTGTCGTGACCCGGGCGGAGCTCGTGGCCTCCTCCTCTCTCGGGGCAACGTGAGACTCGAGTGAGCCGGAACTCGGGTTCGCCGACGTTTTTTGACGAGCGCGTTCTGGATTTGGCGGTCTTGTTTTCGGGGGACGTTTGCAGCGGCAGTTCGCGTCAGATTTCAGATGGGGCCTCGGCATTTTCATGATGGCCTCGTCAGGCTAACTTGAGTGCCTCGTACCCGAGTCTTGCGTCTCCCCGGCTCTTGCCTCCGCCCGTCCCTTGTCCGCTCCTGGGCCTCGCAATCGAGCATCGGCGGCCAGCCCGGAGGGGGAGTGAGAAGTGGCGGGCCTTCTCAGAAGGCTCGGAAGCCCCCCGGCCTTCTGAGAAGCTTTCTGAGCCTCTCCCGAAGACGCAGGACACTTCTCGGAAGGCCAGAAGCCTTCCGAGAAGCCACGCCGCCCTCTGAGAAGTCCGTCACCGTCTCACTTCCCACCCTTACCAGACTTCAACATATCCCCATCCCTATGCTGGGCATCTCCTCATCACGATGCCAGTTTTAGGGATTCCCTTATTTTCTGAGGGCGCATCCCTAAGATTGTCATCGCCTTTTGGCGTGTCAATCTTAGGGACAGGGATAAGTTCGAGGCTGGTCACACCCCTCGCTCGCCGCCGAGCGAGCTCCTCCCCGCGCGCTCGTGCCCCGGGCGCGGGGCGTTCTGCTCGGGTCTGCTCCAGCCGGTCTCTGCGCGCGCCCGCCTGCGCCGCCTCCGCCGGCTCCCCTCGGCGAGGCTGGCGCCGCGGCTGGCGCCCCGGCAGCGGCAGCCATGTACCTGAACAGCGTGCTCGCAGACGTGCAGAAGGATCCATCATCATCATCATCATCATCATCATCATCATCATCATCATCATCATCATCATCATCATCATCATCTTCAACACTATCGACACCACAATCACCATCAGCATCACCAACACCAGCAGCATCATCACCACCAAGATCACCATTACCATCACGGCCATCATCATCATCATCGTCATCATCAGCATCGCCATCATCATCAGCATCAGCATCATCATCATCATCCTCGTCATCGTCATCGGCATCGGCATCATCGTCATGTTCACCACCATCATCATCACTGTCGTCGTCGTCGTTGTTGTCATCGTCGTCATCGTTAGCATCACCATCATCATCACCATCATCCTCACCACCATCATCAACACCACCACCACCACCATCATCATCATCATCATCATCATCATCAGCATCATCATCATCATCATCATCATCATTTTCCCGCCTGGGTTTCGGGGGGTCGTGGGTCCTCCTCGGCCTTCCCCGCTCCGTCCCCTGTCTCCTCCCCTCCTGCCCCCTGCTGGCCTCGGCGGCGCGGTGTGCGAAAGGGCGCGCGCTCCCGCGCGCGTGCTGCCATCCGCGCTGCTGAGACGAATAGCTCACGGACCCGCCGCCGTCGCCACGACGTCGCCACGGCCAGAGTCCGCATCGAAGGCTTGGTGCGGGCCCAGCGGACCCTGGCGGGCCTTCACAGGCGAGCCAGGGCCCACAGCATCGCCCAGGGGAGTTCGGTTCAGGGGCTGAGGCTACCCCGGCCACAGGTCATCACCCGAAGCGGTGCAAACACCGCACAGTGAGACGGAAACGTCGAGAACGCTCGCAGACTTGCAGAAGGTTCACCTTGACAGCCACACTCATCATCGTAATCATCATCATCATCATCATCATCATCATCATCATCATCATCATCATCATCATCATCATCATCATCATCATCATCATCATCATCATCGTAATCAGCATCATCATCACCACCATCACCATCACCATGACCATCACCATCGTCACCATCACCATCACCATCACCATCATCTGCATCAGTGCAGCATCAGCGTCAGCGTCAGCATCAGCATCAGCATCAGCATCAGCAACAGACGGAAACTTCGGGAACGCTACGGGAGAACCTCGAGGCCATCGTTTCCTAACCTCCTCCGAGGCGGAGGGCTGCGCCGCAGACCGCGAACGGCTGGCTCGCGCCGCCGCGGCCGGGGAGGGTCGAAACACTGGCACAGACAGCGTTCTTGTGATCGTTTTCTGATTCATTTGTTTGCCGGTCGGCGCGGGCCCACGCACCCCCCCCCTCCCCCCGCCCACGGAATAGACCTTTCATGGCGCCAACATCGCAGAGCGGATTTCGTTCGGAAGACGGTCGGATGGGCCCGGAGAGTCCTAGAGAATCTCTTTCCGGACTTCGAAGTGAATTTGCTCTTTATTTTTTGTTGGCCAGGAATGAAGACCAAAAATAATCCACACGAAATTCACTTAGTTTTTCGCTCGCCGCTTCGGGCAAAAATCCACGCAGAAATCCAAGGAAAGGAAAACGTCTGCTAGACAGTGGCCACCAATCACGAGGCGCGCGGGCCCAGCGACTGGACTGCCGCAACTTGTATCCCTATCGCCACAACCGCGGGAACTTGCTGAAATTCAGGAGAGGAAAAAACACACAAACACAATTAATCCTCGATTCCCCAGAAAATATGTGAAAATATGGGAAGTGGGGGGGGGAAGACAAAACCCTAGAAAATATATGAAAATATGGGGAAGATTTTTATTTGTGTGTATTTATTTGTGTGTCCTGGGGCCCCTTCAGAAATGACGGTCGCCGGGACCAAGTGGCCACTGGCACCAGCGCAGAACGCACTCGTCCCCCCTGCGCGGGTGGACGGGGAGGCCTCTTGCGACGGCGACGCCCGCGGCACACCGGCACGCAGCGGGGGGGCAACCCACGGCGGAGCATGTGGAACACTGCGGATGGGCAACCCGCCAGGTGGGGGGAGGAGGAGGAGGAGGAGGAGGAGGAGGAGGAGGAGGAGGAGGAGGAGGAGGAGGAGGGGGAGGAGCACTGTCGTGGGCAGGTGGCGAAACCAACATGTCCGCAGCATCGTGGTGGTCACGCCACGCCCAGAGGCCTGCTGGCCAGGAGTGAGCTTCCTGGCCAGCGAGAGCCGACCCTTCCAGCAGCAACCCTGCGAGCTCGCTCACCCATCCAGCATTAAGTCGGGCGTGTCCCTCTACAGGGGGAACATGCAAGAATAGTAAAAGATTAGCATGGGGACGATTTCTGGACTATTGTGTTTGAGTATGTGGGTGGTATGTTTTGATTTTTTGATTTTCGCCCAAGATCCCCCTGTAGGGGGACACGCCCGACTTAAATCCAGCACAGCCAACAGGCACGCGCGCCGCCGGCCCCCAGAGGCAGAACCTCGCGGCGCGCGCGGTGGATCCTTCAGCCACGAGCGGCAGAGCGGTGCCGAAGACGCAGCTCGGATAGCGCTGAACCAGGCGAGGTACGCAGAGGTCGGGAGGCTGAATGCCGAAGCCTGCCTGCTGCGCCATACAGGATATGTGCGAAACGGCCTGCTCTGCGTCTGGCAGGCCAGGCATGTGCTTCACCTGGTTCCGTGTGGCAGAAGATCCCGCAGCCGCAACGACCTGCGAGCCCCTCGCGGTCAGCGGGTGGGTCCGAGACCCTCGATCTGGAGATCGCGCCAGGGTCTGTAGTGGCATTTTGTACATGATGACCTCGCGAGGAGAGTCGGAAGGATGAGGCGAAGACCAACGGCCGACTCGTTAGAGGACGACAGACTATTTTCATGATCCTGGATGGGCACAGGGTTGCAGAAGCAGACGGCTGAATTCTTGACCTCGCCCACCTGAATGCAGTGAAAATGAACGACGTATAATCGCAGCACGTTTGTTGAGGACTGGGGCGACGCGCTCTTGGAGACGAAAGCCATTCTGGAGTCTCCCATCTTCGAGTCCTTGTTCAGGGCACAGATCGAGCACCACCCTGACCTCACTATCGGTCTGGGGGGCGTACCATCGGATGGAACGGGTCGACCCGAATAAGACCGACGAGCGGCTTAACGACAGGTGTACCAAACTCTTGGAAAGATACACCGAGGAGTCCGCACAGCCATGTCCGCCAGCAAATGGACCTGAATTCAAAGAGGCTCGTGCGCTTCAGACAATTGCCCGCGGCAGCACCCATAACATTTGAAAACAAGGGGACGGGGCCCATGGACAGGCCAGGCGCCCGCAAGTTCCGCGAATACGCTGCCATGGAAGGCAAGTGCTCCAAGCCACGGCGCAGTGAGAAGCACAGGCCAGTGCACGCACCACCAAAAGAGAGATGGTATCAAAGGTGACACCTGCAGCTTCGCGCACGTGGACAGCGGCGGCGACAAGACCGCCGGCGCGGCACGCAAATGGGACTCCCCAGGTCGCTCACCCTTAGAAGGCCGACCTGGCCCTATAGTGACGATGCATCTACCAGTCCGTCGCGGCCCCCATGGCGGGGCGAGGAAACGTCCTGCAAGCCTGCGACAGGGCTCCCCTGGAGACAGTTCGTTCTCCGGGGGAGGCGGGGGCGTGGAAACCGCCGCCAGATTACAGGGGAAGAACCCCGGCGCCGAACCCGGCTGGCCGCCGCCAGCTGTCAACCTCTAACGAGCCAGGCCGAGGGCGTTCAGGTACGCCCGCGCTAGCGTGTGTCCACTGGCGGCCGACACTGCCGCCTCCGAGGTCCCCGTAGGTCCTCGCTGGGCCCCCCGGAGGCCCCCTGCAGCACAGGAAGAGGCTGGGAACCAAGAGCAGTTGCGGCGCAACCCCTAGCGACCTTCCCAAGCCAGCGAAGCCAAATTGCAGCCCGACTGGGGCTGAGAGCGGCTGAGTTTGGATGGAGCAACCGCTCCGAAGCGGCCGAAACGACGCTTGCCGACCCAGGTGCAGCATCCTTTAGAGCGCTTCCAGCGAGGCGCAGCTGCCGGGACCACGTCCTTCGCTTCTTCCGCATGTTCTTCTCCTTCGTCCGCGGGGGGGGGGCGGGAAGGGGGGGAAGCGGGGGTGGTGGTGGGCGCAGGCATCGAAGCGGAAGGGGAATCTGCCACGGAGTGCCCGCCCAGGTCGCCAGCTGACGCGGAAGGGAAGTCAAGGTTGCCATCTGAAGCGGAAGGGGAAGCTTCCGCGAGACACTTGTTGGGGTCGCCCTCTGGAGCTGAGGAGGGACCTATGGCGACGGCGGCTCCAAACTGTTTTGGCCAATCTTCGTAGGCGAGCCAGGGCCCATATAATCACCCAGGGTACTTCGGCTTAGGGGCTGGAGATCCCCCAACCATGCATCAGCACCACCGTCGTCATCTTCATCATCTTCATCATCACCATCATCATCGTCATCATCGTCAACATCATCACCATCATCATCATCATCATCATCATCATCATCATCATCATTATCATCATCGTCGTCGTCATCATCATCAGTAGCCAGTTTGGGTCAAGGCTCGCGGTTCAGACCGCAGCGGGCTTCATGGGCCGCGCCTTCCTCTGCGCCAGGCGACGCCCCCGCCATGGCGGTTGCGCTTGTTGTGGAGTGGAAGGGGCGCTTCGATCTTGAGGATGCCAAAGGTGATGGTGATAGCCGGGGCCAAGGAGCTCGGGAAGGCTCTGAGATTTTTTGGCCAGGTTGTCACCAACAATGAGGTCTGGGAGCTGTGGCAGAAAGTCGGCCTGGCCCCCGCGTCCGGGGGAAAGGTTCGAGGAGATGGCCGGCCGCAGGCAGAGGGAAGCGGACATCAGTCTTTGATGCTGCATTCGGCATTCTAGGTTCGGATGTTGATACGGCCCTCAGATTGCCAAGGCAGTTCGCCGACTCGCCCTTTTTTCGGTTCTCGCGAGGGCGTTGCGGCCGCATTTGCTGCGGGCTTGCGCCCGCCGCGTCGGACCACGGGTCGTTTTCATTGAGGGGTGTTTTGTGAAAGGGTGGCCTGGACTGTCCATCCCCGACAGGTGTTCGGCTCTGGAGCACGGCTTACCAAGGGCGCCCTCGAGGGCGCGAAGTTATTCGCGCTTCGCGCTTCGCGGTTCGGCTCCGATTCCTCATCCTCCTCTTCTCCCCTGAGTGGCGGCGCGAGAGCGCGAAGTTATTCGCACTTCGCGCTTCGCGCAGCGCGAAGCGCGAAGCTGGGAGCCCTTGCTTACCAGCAAGGACCATGCCCCGAGGCGCAAGGACCACGGGAAGCTCTACAGGACCATGTCCTGCAGAGTTTCCCTATGGGTCTTTGTGCGTCGGGTGCGTGGTCCTTGCGCGTCGGGTGCCTGGTCCTCGTGCGTCGGTGCATGGTCCTTGCCTGGGCTCGCGCGCCACGGCACCCTGGCGCTTCTCGGTCGCGCCGCGAACGCAACGGCAGGTCGAGCATCCGTACACAAGGCAAAGCATCGTCCGTCTTGTTTGTCCTCTTTGTCACGGTGCCCCCGCGCTTCCTCACTCCCTTCGTCCGGGCCGTTTTGCCTACCGGCCAGCCCTACAGCATTCGATTGCGCATTGGCGCGGTCGTCGCGGGCCGCTGCTGATCGGGCCAGCGTGTTTTGATACACATTCCGAGGGGAGAGCGGAATGACAACAAGCTTCTTCATGTGCAGGCTGACGCGCGCTGACAGGTTGTATGCAAGCATCTGTACTTCCAAATGGTAAACATCTGAATACTGCCTCCCCTCCTCATCCCCCCCCTGCTCCTCCTCGTCCTCCTCCTCCTCCTTCTCCCTCGCCTCTTCGCCTCCTCCTCTTCCTCCTCTTTCACCTCACCGATCATCTCGATCATCTCCAGCAATTCCTATGAGCGCGAGCTCGTGGGTGATAGTGTAGTAAGAGGTTCGGGGAGGCTTCGAGGCCGTGGGAACACACCGCGCGGTCGCGCCCCCCCCCCACTCGATGATCCTGAGGACGGGAGTTGGTCCAGTGTGTGCTTACTGCGTGCGGCTCTTCCGATGGTATGCAGCCCGTGTCGGCCCTCACTGCGCCGCCTTCGTCGTATCGTAGGGCTTCGGTGGACAAGCGCACGTTGGCGCTGACAGAGGTTCTTAGGATCGTCGAGCCACGGAGGAGGCTCGATTCAACCTTGTCATACGGCTTGGAACTTTCGGATAGCGTGTCGCTCCGCTGGTTCTGGCCCACCGCGCTTCGGCGTGATACGCCATCCCAGTCCTCAACCGTCTTCGTTCCGAGTTTTCCCGGGCCTCCCGCCTCGCAGATCGGAGCGACACGCCATTCGTTCGCAGGGCAAGACGTCTCGCCAGGGCCGCCGCGGCAACACGCAAAGCAAAAGTTCCCGAGCGTAAGGATGGATTTCAGCAAAATCCTCCCAGGCCTTCAAGGTGTTACTTCTTCAGCACTCGGGCCCCCAGATGCGTTAGCCCCTTCACTATCGAGCAGTGTCTCGTGCCAGAACCACTTTCGATAGCCCTTGGGCCCAGAGCAGTCAAGCAGCGGTGATGCGTCCTGGCTTGCCTACAACTCCACTGAATAATGTTCCAAGAACCTTGCGTGGTTTGAACGAAATGTTGAAAGCACGTCTGGCTGAGACTGCACTGGTTTGAAACTCTGACTGTACGTTCTAAGATCACGTCTTATGTGTTTGGAATACTAGGACGGTCGGCCCATGCTCAAAGCAGAACCCGAGAGGCGGAACACAATCAAGTAGTTTGCACAGGTCGCGGGAAAAATGACAGGGCGTCAAACGAATGAGGAGGGGGGCCAACGATGAGGAGAGGGAGAGGAAGGCAGCCCCCCCCCCCCTACAGGCGGAGGACCTCCTCTCCATCCTTCCTCCTTGGCCTTGGCCTGTCTGCCGTGCGCCCGGCAAGGGTGGAGCATCACCACTGCCTTTTTCGCCTCACGTGTCGTGCTCCGCGCTCCTCCTCGTCCCCTCTCTGCCGGACCTGCAACGCCTGGACAAAATCAGAGCAGAGGCGTTTCGCTACTCGCGGCCTCCAGGGGCCGCTTCCGGACCCCAGGGCCACGGAGAAGCGGTGCTGGACGAAGGGCGGGGCTCCAGGAGGGCGACGCGAGGACTGGGCCTCCGGGGCCACGAGGAGGGCGTCGGCGGTCCGAGCTCTCCTCGGCATCTCGGCCCCGAGGGCCGAGGCGCCCGAGGAGGAGGAGGCGTGCTGCGCGCCAGGACCCCCCCCCCCGACGCGGGTGGGGCCCAGCGCGTTGGCGCCCAGCGCGTCGGCCCGGTGGTCCCAGCGCGTCGGCCTTGGGGGCCCTGCCGGGGCCCCCCCGGCTGTGCCGCGGCCCCCGCGCGTCGTCCCCTGGCTCTTGCGCGTGGGCCCCGGGGCCCCGCCTGGCGAGGACCATGCCCCCGACGCGCCAGGACACAGCGCACCCGCCGCGCAAGGAGCACGCACCCGCCGCGCAGGGACCATGCACCCGACGCGCAGGGACCACGAGAAGCTCCACGGGGCCATGCCATCGTGTGGTCCTGTAGATGTAGAGCTTCGCGCGGTCCGTGTGTGTGTGTCGCCGCCGTCTCCTGGAGAGAAGCTCTCCGCGCAGGAGTCCGTGAAGATGTGGCTCATCCATCCAGCGGGAAAGTAGAGCAGAAGGAAATCGTGAACAAAGTGATTAAGGCCTGTATGGATTGGTGTATTGATTGCTTGGACTTGATCCGAGCGGTGCCATGCTCACGTGGCCAACGCAGGACGATGATGGAGGACACTGTTCATTGTGCGGAGATTGAGGGGGACCCTGAACTAGCAACTCCAAACATCATTCTCATCATCTTCATCATCACCCTCGGCATCATGTCCATCGTCGCTTCATCATCATCATCATCATCATCATCATCATCATCATCATCAGCATCAGCATCAGCATCATCATCATCATCATCATTATCATCAGCAGCAGCATCATCATCACCACCATCATTATAATCATCATCATCACCATCATCATCATCACCATCATCATCATCATCATCATCATCATCATCATCATCCGAATCAGCATCATCATCATCATCACCATCACCACCATCATCATAACAATTAGCATCACTATCATCATGTTGTCCTTCTCGCCGTCATCATGCCCCGTTGTCGCCGTCTTTGCTTGTTATGTCCTCTCCCCTCTCGCTTGCTGACCTCTCCTCCCTCACTGTTCCTGACATTGTCACGTCGTTCCGTCAGCAGCCCCAGGAGTCGGCGCCTCCGAAAGCGTTGAACGCGGAGCACCTCTATAAGATGAACGAGGCCATCTTCAATCTGCCTGAGGAGGATACCATCGATGGGAAGATGTCCGACAAGCTTTTTCATGCAGCCACGCAGATACGACGAGCTTATATTTCCGGAAACATCTGCGATGCGGACCATAATTTCTTCTACGATTACGTCGCCCTGCTGGGAACAATGCAGAACCAGCCTTTCTTCACTGCCCAGCAGACCGACAAGATGCTGAACTGGACCGCGTAGCCGCACCATACCCCGGATCTTTCCATTTCTTCTTCTCCCTCCACTCCTCCTCCCTCCTCCCTCCTCTTCCTCCTCCCTCCTTCAACCCTTCCTTCCCTCCTCCCCCCTCCTCTGTCGAGCTCACCCGTCACGCTGTTGGGAGTCACGAGCGGCAGCCTAAGACGATCAGCGGCAAGCACTGCGTGTCGTAAAGGTTTGCCCGCCGTGCCCGAAGTATCAGCCCGCCGCGTGGCGACTGTTCGTGCAAGGATGCTCCAGATGCCTCGAACACTGACTGGGGCGCTGGCGGAAACACTCAGTCGATCTCGGCCGTGTCGGGGATGACTCCGAGGCGGGGACTTATCCATCGCCACCGCCTCGGGGATCGATCTTCGGAGACCTCGGCAGGCAGCGGATATAGTATGTATACTTGACCCCGCCCCCATGGCCAGAATATATATCGATGTTCACCGCCTGCCGAAGTCCCCGAAGCCTGATCCCTAGGCGGTGGTGATGGACACTGTCAGGAACTTCGCCAGTTCTGGCCACCACGCTTTGGCGAGGCACGCTATCCACTTTCCAGCCCCCAGTCTTCAAAACGTCCCGAGCCTCTCCGAGCCTCCCACCCCGCGGCACGGAGCGACACGCTCTCGGCTCGCAGTGCACAGCGATTCGTCTGGGCCGCCGCCGCGACACGCCAGGCAAACGTCCCTGGCCGTAAACCCCCGCCTCGCAGTGACTCGGCTACACGTAAGAGTCACCCTTCGCCTGGAGTGACCTTTGGTCGCGGGCTCATAGGTGTCCCCCCGATCAAGGAGTGTGCTGCGTGCTGCGTCAGCGGCTGCTTGCGCGCTTGGATTCGGCAGCCTTGCGCCCCCTCGGGTCCGCGCACCAAAGGCCACCCTTGCCTAGGGTCACTGCTGCGTGTGGCCGGAGGGCGTGGTCCGGCGCTCCAAGGGGGGACACCGTGCCCCCCTCGGCCAGATCCGGGGCGGGCGCCGGCGGGACCCAGGAAGCCCCCGTGCCCCCTGCCCGCGCCCCCTCCGACCCGCGCGGACGCCGGCTGCTGGCGCGCACGCGTGGGGGAGAGGGGGGGGGGGGGTCAGCCACGCGCAGAGGGGGGAGGGGGGGAGGGGGGAGGGCTTCTTAGAAGCACCCCTGCTTCTCAGAAGGCGTGGGCCTTCTCTGTAGATGTAAGGCCGGCGCCTTCTGAGAAGCAGGCTCCCTCTAAGAAGCCCTTCCCCCTCCCTCCACCCCCTTGTGCGCGCCGCCAAAAGGTAGCGGGGGGGGGTATAGGGGCGAGGGGGGGCCGAGCGGGGCTAGGACAGGGAGAAGTGGCGGCGAAATCCGAACCCTACCCTGGCCGATCGGTGGCTCACAGGCAACTCGATGGGCGGCGGGCGTGGTGTTCGGAGCCCGTGCACGTGGCGAAAGCCGAGCCCTACCCCGCCTCCTATCGATTCAGGAGACATGATTCGGGCGAGGGTCGTGGCCCCCTCGCCCCTTCCCCTCTGTTCCGCCGCCGTTCCTCGACACCCCCCCCCCGTCTGGCCGGGACTCGCCCCTACGGCGAACGGGCCCCCGGACAACGGGCACCGCCGACGCAGTGCCGGCGGGAGGACGTGATGGTTGGTGGGGGTCGGGTGTGGACGTCGCCGCCTGGGTGACATATCGTCCCAGGGCGTTCCAGGATTCCAGGGCGCCCTCACAGCGTTCTGGAGCTCGTGGGCGAAAGGCACGGATGGCAAAGCAGGAAAATGCATGATCATGGGGCGAGGACTGGAAGCGCAAGGCAACACGTGGATGGTGACGGGGCGAAACAGGAGGAACAGCAGGAAGGGAAGGATGATGAGGAGGTGAGGGAGAAGTATGGGGAGAAAGGCGAGCAAGAGGAGGAGGACGAGGAGGAGGAGGAGGAGAAGGAGAAGGAGGTGGAGTAGGAGGATGCGTGTGAGATGGAGGAGGAGGAAGACCAGTGTAACCCAAAGACTCAGCAACGATGTTGGGATACACCCTCCCGCCAAGCTGCCTCTTCATAGGCCCCGACGAGGGCTCATGGGAAGTACCCCGTTGAGGAACAACCGTGTGAAAATACTGAAGCGTGCCAAAACACCGCTCTCTGGACTTTAACGTCACGGGTTAACTCGGCTGTTGCGTCTTGGCGATTCTGAATCGGCGCGAGTCAAAATAATGTTCGCGCCCTGGCAATCCTGAGTCGCTCCAAAGCAAAGTTTCGAGCACGTTAACCAAAATCATTGAACTTCTTGCCATTTTCTAAATCGAACGCGTGCGATGCTAGGGCGGGGGCCACATTTTGAGCAGGAGCCGCCTTGGATCCGTAAAGCTGTTCCGAATTGTTCAACCGAGTGTACGCAACGCTAAAAAGGAGAGCTGAACTTTGAAAATGAACCGCTGTTATGCGAAGCTCTACCAAGCCTTAAAAACCATGTGCGCGGCGCAATGGCGAGAGCCACATTATGCAAACGAACCGATTTCAATCCGCAAAGCTCTTGCTGTCTCAAACGAATGCGTCCGGCGCTAAGCCGAAAGCCACATTTTGAAAACGGCCCGCCCTCAATCCGTGAAGCTCCCGCACATGTTTGAAACGAATGTGCGCGGCGCCACGCCAGTGCGAGAGCAACATTTCGAAAACGGTCCGTCCTCCATCCGTGAAGCTTCTGCGAGATTCTAAGCTTGAGCTTCAAAAGTGGTCCGGAAGTCTCCGGCGAAACGCCCGGCCCGCCCTTCCGACGGACCTCGGGGTGCAGCAGGGAGGAGCGATGCATAACGATAGGGAATGGAGCGGGGTGTTGTCGAAAGTGCTGCCCGGAGGGATCGGCCGAAAGGCATCACGGGGCAAGGAGGACACGGGAGGCAGGAAGGGGTACGCCAGCAGCGCTATCGACGGTGTAGGCATGCGCTTGCTGGGGCGACTGGCGTTCTCTCTCGTGGCAGGGGCGTCGACCAGAACACAGCCAACCTCACCCGAGAGTGTCCCAGGCAACTGGCAACGCCAAAACGATTGGGTCGGAAGAGCGGGGACCAGCTCCAGGCCAAGAATAGGCTGTGCCCGCGAAAGGGCGCTGAGCGTGAGATCTGTGCTCCCAGCCGTCCGCAAAGGGCGCACGACCTCCTGCAGGAAGCGCACTGTCGCGCTTCCGATCACAGCACAAACGGCTTGCCCACCCGTCTGCGAGTGGGTGTTTTGGGCCCGTCTTTGTCGTGGGGCTGATCAGCGCATGCTTGAGGCTCGCCTTGATGAGGTTTGCATTCGGCTTCGGCGTTTTGAGGAAATCTGGCCTCGCCCTGGTACGCATCTGCACGAAGTCCGCCGCCACCGCCATTGAGGCCCATGGCCATCTTGATTGGCGCTCTTCTCTACCTTTTTTGAGGCCCATGATGATCACGAGGCTCACGTGCACGACGTTCTTCTTTGTACCCGTCTTCATTCTCAGGTTCATCTCCCTCACGGGGCTCGTCTTCGTGAGGCCCATCTTCACTCTGAGGCGCATCTGCATGCGGATCGTCTTGTTGGGCGAGGGTTTCCGCATCGAGCTGCTCCTCCCGCTCATCTCTGCCCGGCTTGTCCACGCTGAAGAGCTCCTCCCTGGCGCTCTCCCGCCCGTGCGCAGTCGGCGCACCGCGCGGATGCACACATCTCGGCGGTTGCTCGCCCGAGTTCCCGGCTTCGGGGCGCAACGCCCAAACGACGGGCGCGGCGACCAGGCCAGGGCTGCCCGCCGATCCGCCGCAGCGCCACGCGCGGGCGCGCTTGCAGTTGCACCCCCCCCCCACGACCAGGCCAGCCAGGGCGTTGCACCCGACGCCGCGGGCGCCCGGGCTCGCTCGGCCGCGGCGCGCAAGGCTCGCCGCGACCCGATGCTCCTCGGGCGCAGGCCGCAGCGCGCACCGAGCCAAGCTCTTGCAGCGCTTGGTGCGCGGAGGCCGTTGCGCAGCGTGGTGCACTGCCGCCGGCGGCGGCGGCTACCGCCTCGGCGGATGCTTCGCATGCGTCGCGATTCGTGTCGAGGCACTCCCTGAGTCCTCTGGGTGACAGCTCTCCGCTGCGAATGATTTCGCAGGGGCGACCCTGGCGCGCCGCCTCTTCGTCTCGGCATCTCCACGACGAAAGGCCTCGCTAATGAAGCGCGCCCCACCGGGCGCGCTGGCGAGCGTCGCCGCGGCTCTGCTGGCCAGCGCAGCGGAAACGGCCGGAGACGCCGCCCCTCGGGGACCCACCTGCCGCGGGCGGGGGGCGGCGGGTTCGCCCGCGGGGACCTCTGCGATGGATTCCTGAGCAGCGCGCGCCGCGCGCGCGTCGGGAGAGCTGGCGCACCAGCAGGTGCGCAATACCACTGTGGTCCCTCTGCGATTCTGGCGCCTTGAGATATGAAAACGCGGCCGCGCCGTCCGACGAGGAGAGGGCGACCCGCGCTCGCCGCGCACATGCCCGTGCCGGCAGGCCGGGGCGGCGGCCAATCTGCAGGGCCCGTGGCCAGCGAGGCGGCGCGTGCGCCGACTGGGCCGGGGCCAGCGGCGCCTCGGCGACAGGCTGTGGGGGGGGGGGCGCGCCAACGGGAGCGGCTGTCGCGCCGCGCGCAGAGGCCAGGGGCCAGCAGCCAGCGCGTTGACGGGCGACCGGGAGCTGGGCCAGTGGGGTGGCGCGCGCGCGCCAAGCGGGCCAGTGCAGGGCGCGGCACCTGGGGTGGGTGCCGCGCCCGCGGGGCGGAAGCGAGCGCGCCGCCCGGGGTGGATGCCGCGTATAGAATGAAACACCGGGGCGCAGACAAGCGGATATCGCCGGGAGGCGGACAGGGGCGGAAGGCGCCTCGCCCGGGGTGGATGACGCACGCGCAGCAGGGAGGGGCGCATCACCTGGGGTGGATGACGCGACCGTGAAAACGCGCCCCGTGGGCCCAGGAACAGTGCGGCAGGGTCGTCGTCGCAGGCCAGGCGTCGGCTGGCGCCCGCGCGAGCCGGCCCCTCTGGAGCAGCGGCGCATGGGTGGCTC